TGGTTACCACCCGGAGGAGGGCCTTCTCTGTGGCTGCTCCGGCCCTCTGGAACGATCTCCCCGTGGAGATTTGGACCCTCACCACCCTCCAGGCTTTCCGCAAAGCCTTAAAAACCTGGCTGTTCCGACAGGCCTGGGGCTGATGAGTTCCTGTCCCCGCTCGAATGGTGTGGCTGTTGATTGTTTTTAAAATTGTGGTGTTGTGTTGTCCGTTGTCTTTCTTTTTTTCCTGTTTGTACCCCCCCCCCCCCGACTTGGTTTGAGAGCCGCCCTGAGTCCCTCTGGGAATAGGGCGGCATAGAAATACAATAAAATCAAATCAAATCAATCAAATACCTTGGATGAGAAGCGAAAAGTCTTCAAGCAAAAAATGAAGAAAGTCGAGCTGCCTTTTGAAAAAGCACCATTGGGGCTACCAAAGGATAATCAGTGGCACCGAAAAAAGTGACACAAAAATTTTCACACTCACGACCATTGTAGTATCCTCATATTTACATGATCAGAAATCCAGAAACTTGGCAACTCATATTTATGATGTTTGCAATACATGCACTTTTTCGGACCTTCTGACAAACAAAATCAATAGGGAAGTCAGATTCACTTAATAACTGTGTTACTAAAATAACAACTGCAGTGACTCACTTAAGGTCATAAAATGGGGCAAAATTCACCTAAGAACTGTCTCACTTAGCAACAGATTGTGGTTGTAAGTCGAAGACTACCTGTACTTAAGGAGCATGTCGATGAAGACTTTCAGTAATTCCAGGTAGAGTTGTTTTGAAATTGAGTCTGAGCAAAGGGAGTTGTTTTCTTGTTGGTTCAAAATGTTTTCTGTAGTCTCAGCAAATTGGTTAGGGCAACCCCATCTATGTTTTAAGGTAAAGGATTTAGGACCTATAACATCTACTTGCCAGCAACTCTCTGCCTACTCACCCAACAAACCTATCCAGATGAGGTGAGAAAATGAAACCTCCCTGGAGAACATCTATGGCAAGGGTGTCAAAACCAGTGGGCTGATCCGGCCCGTGGGGTGCTTAGATCTGGCCCACAGGGCTGCCCTGGAAATAGTGAAGGACTGGCCTCTGCCAGCAAAAGTGGAGTGCGGGAGGGCCGTGAGCTCTCTTTTCACTGGCAGAGGGCTGGAGGAGGCATCGTTTGGCGCTCTTCCTGGTCTCGCCTTCTTCTGCTGGAGACAATGGATTTCTGCCGGAGCCACCACAGGTACCCCCAACATGAGTGATGTCAAACTGGCCATGATCACCCTGACCATGACCCCCCCCCCATCCTCCCCAAGGTCAAGCACAACCCTGATGCAGTCCTCAATGAAATTGGGTTTGACACCCCTAATCTATGAGGTTCCCCTAACCCAGGGGTCCCAAAACCCTGGGACCGGCACTAGTCCGTGGCATGCCAGAAATTGGTCCACATGAACAAGCAAAGCCTTATCGCCAGGATGCTGGCAGCACATGAAACCATACTCCTTCTGGTCCACGGAAAAACTTCTCTCCATGGAACCGGTCCCTGGTGCCCAACAGGTTGGGGGCGGAGGGTGGCACTGGCCTAATCAACTTGCTTAGACCAAAGAAACTACTTGGACAAGCAGTGAAACATTTCAAACCAACAACAACAAATCCAGTTGCCATGACACAACTTCCAGTATATATATAAGGAGATTTAATAGAAGGATAAATCATGCTAGTAAACAGGCCTATTTTTATATTTATGGTCATATTAAGAAGCATCACCCAGCTGCAGGTTCTCAGTGGATGAAAAACATACAAATTAATGAATGTAATACTATATTACTGGTCACATTCCTTTGTAAGCATGTGTTTTGGGAGAAAATAGGCCTATTGCAGCTCAATGATTGGACAACCGGCATATACATTTCATAAATAAACAAATAAACAATTGTGGATTAGGTTCTGATCCCTTGATCTTGATGAAGAGCAAAATCAAACTTACACTAGAAAGGAGAAACTGCACAGGCAGTCAAAAGCCTGTGTTCATTGGTGCAAGTGACACCTCTGCTTCCCCCCCCCCCCTTCTCACTCTGGGAAAGGACCAGGGATGGGATTCAGACGGTTCAGACCGGTTCAGGTGAACTGGATGCTAATTTTATATCTGATTCGTTGAACCGGTAATTGTAAAGACTGGTTGGCCCCAACCATCCTCCCTTTCCTCCCAGGAGTCTCCATGTGGCCCGTTTTGGATGCCAGGCAAGGGCAGGGCCCACGCGGAGGCTCTGGGAGGGTGAAAAATGGGCCTCCTGGAAGTCAGGAAATCAGAGCCATTTCCAGCCTCTGGAGGGCCTCCGGAGCCCAGGGGAAACCATTTTCATCTTCCTGGAGGCTCGAAGAAAGCCTCCAGAGCCTGGGAGGGTAAAAAATGGGCCTCACAGAAGTCCCAGAAGTTCGGAAACAGCCCATTTCCGGCCTCCTGAGGACCTCCGGAGAGCCTCCGGAGCCCGGGGGAGGCCCTTTTTGCTCTCCTGGAGATTTGAGGAAAGCCTCTGGAGTCTGGGGAGGGTGAAAACACACACACACCACTGTGGTGCAGGAGGCTGCCCACAATGGCCATGCCCACCCAGCAAACCAGGCAGAGAACCAGTTGCTAAGATTTTTGAATCCCACCCCTGGACAAAACAATGAGCAAATCTCACTTTGCCTCCCTCATGTTAGTCACCTTATCTTATCTTCCTTCATAGTCAAATGAATTAAGTAAAATTGGGCTTTGTAGAATATGGAAACAGAAGGGAAATGGCCTGAAGTTTTCAGTAGCAATTAGGGATTTTGCATCTCCTTGAGCAGAACCTGGATAAGTGTTCTTTTGTACACAAAATCTGGCCATTTGGTAGCACTATCCACAAACTCCTTTGAAATAACATGAATACGCTATGTTCAGTGAAATGCGTTTTATTGACAGACGGACACCTGTCTCAAAGAAGTGTTGAACAGTCATAACTCTTTCTCCTCACTAAGAGTGAGAGGAAGCCAGTAAGCAGAAGAAGAAGTTAAGAGGGTCTCAGTGATGGCTGCCCACGTCTTCATAGCCGGTGGGTAGTGGGTTGGTGTGGGGATTGTGAAAGAAAGAGTGATTTCCATCACCCCATGGATAAGCCTAAAATAAATAAGAGAAAAAGGGAATACAGAAAGAAAGCTCTCTGGGGAGGCACATCAGGATAGACCATGGAGAGGAGGTCAGAAAAGTTAAGATGGAAGCCATGATGGGAGCCACACCCCTTTTTAATGTATGCCATGCATGTGATGAATATTCTACAAGGGGGTGTGGCTTCAATTGTGGGTCATGGCCGCCATCTTGATTTTTCTTTATAATCCCTCATGGGCATTGTAGCACAAATCCACCAATTTGCACTTGCCTCTGGATCTTAATATAGTTATTTCCCCTTATCAACAATTGCTTAAATATCAGTACCTCAATTGAAAACCCATCACAACATAGCAAGCAACTAAATACCGGTAATCCTAGAATTACAGCCAGTGACCATTCGAAGTCACCATAGCACTGAAAAAAGTGACTTATGATCGGTTTTTCACACTTATGACCGTTGCAGCATCCCCATGGTCACAAGATCAAAATTCTGGTGCGTGGCACCTGGCATGTATTTATGATAGTTGTACTGTCCTGGGGTCATGTGACCACCATTTCCAACCTTCCCAACTGGCTTCCGAAAAGCAAAGTCAGTGAGGGAAGCCAGATTTGCTTAATGACCACATGATTCACTTAACAACTTAATGACCACATGATTCACTTAAGGCAAAAAATATGGTTAAATGGGGCGAAACTCACTTAGCTACTGCTTTGTTTATCAGTGGAAATCCTGGGCTCAATTGCGACCGTAAATCAAGAATTACCTGTATATAAAAATTCAGCTCACCCAGAAAAATCAAAGGGCTATTCAGTTAATACCAGGGGTGAAATCCTCGCAGTTCAGCCCAGTTTGACCGAACCGGTAGAAATGATTGTCCTTGATTCTGTGAACTGGTAGTTAAAAAAAAAAAAGCTTCCAAGAATCACATGGCTCACCTATGAGCCGCACGATCGTTGGAAACTTTTCTTCTGCTTTTTAAAACATTTTTTTCCTGTCAGTTTTGGTGAACCGGCAGGAAAAAATGCTTTAAAAAGTTTTTAAAAAAGCTTCTAACAATTGCGCAGCTCACAGCTGATCTGCACGATCACTGAAAGCTTTTTTCCCCTCACTTTTTAAAGCACTTTTTTCCTGACGGTTTGGGCGAATTGGCAGGAAAAAAATGCTTTAAAAAGTGAAAAATGTGGCCACACCCACCCAGTCACATGACCTCCCCACCAAGCCACGCCCACAGAACCAGTGGCGGGGGAGAATTTAGATTTCATCACTGGTTAATACTATAAAAAAAAATTAGGGTCCCTTTTGAGCAGAGCTTCAGAAGATGAAGCTTTAGGGCCAAAAGTTTGTCATCATCCTAATTTTAGAGGACTGGATCATTATGGGAGAAGATCTACGCTTGACTGTGCTATTAGCTTCAGAAGGAAGAAGCCCTTCACAAATACAGTTAGAAGGCCTAAACACTTCGATTCCCTCTCCTGCTACATTTTTTTTTACCTTTGTCCGAATCCTCAGATGGGGATATGGAATGAACTCAGGACGTTCATGGGGGTGATCTCTCTTTTTCAGCTGCACATTCAGCCAGCAGATGCCTACTGAAGGAAGTGCCACCACAAAGCTCAAAATCTTCCATAACCTAGCTGATATGCAAAAGGGAAAGACAAAATAACCAAGGCTGAAGGGCAGAGGACGCTAGATGGCTGCTAAGTTGCATTAAAAAAATAGGATCTGGGCTTTCTCTGGTTAACAGAGGAGTCTTAATGGGCAGTTAATTAAATATCAGGTAACAGAATGAGGAGGCAGCCAAAATAGCCAATGCAATCCTAAATTACATTATTAACAGAGGGATACAATCGAGACCAAGTGAGGTACTAATACCACTCTACAAAGCCTTACTAAGGCCATACCTAGAATACTGCACCCAGTTTTGGTTACCACACTATAAAAAAGATGTTGAGACTCTAGAAAAAGTGCAGAGAAGAGCAACCAGGATGATTAAGAGACAGGAGGCTAAAACATATGAAGAACAGTTACAGGAACTGGGCATGACTAGTCTAGTTAAGAGAAGGACCAAGGTCAAGGTATTTAATAAAGCACCTAAAGGACAGACAAGGAAACAATGCATGGAAACTGATCAAGGAGAGATTCAACCTAGAAATGAGAAAATTTTTGACAGTGAAAAAATCAACCAATGGACTGGACTGCCATCTGTCAGAAATGGTCTAGGGCTGTGATGGCAAACCTATGGCATGCACGCCACAGGTGGCATGCGGAGGCATTTGTTAGGACATGCAAGGCATTGCTCTCTCAGGTCCAGCGTGCATGCACGCACTGGCCAGCTGACTTCAGCCTTCATTTTCGGCCGTTTTTCGGAAATGGACTTCCAGTTTGCACATTGGGCCGTTTTTCACCCTCCAGAGGCTTCATGGAATCCTCTGGAGGGACTTGGGGGTTGGCGGGAGGCTGTTTTCGCCCTCCCTGGGCTTCTAGAAAGCCTGGAAAGGGCAAAAAATGGGTCCATCGCATGCCAAAAGCGGGGGGAGGGCAGGGGTTGCGCATGCATGAGTCAGGGGGAGTCACGCACATAGAATTATGGGAGTGGGCACACCCGCGCATGACCAACCTCCACTCCCCCTGCTTTTGGCACGCGATGGCAAAAAGGTTAGCTTAGCCATCACTGGTGTAGCGTCCCCTACTTGAGTGGAAGTTGGACTAGATAACCTACAAGGTCCCCTCCAACTCTGTTATTCTGTTATTCTATTCTGTTAACAGCCTTCTAGCATAATTTCAAGTCACTAACATTTTTGATTCTGAGGAAACCAGCAAAGGATATTTTCAAGGTCGCACCTGTTATACCCCCCTCCCACTGTTTTTGTGGGACAATACATTGAAAGCCAAAATGCTTTCTCAGAAGACAAATGCTAGACAAAAGTCATCAATGCTGCATTCCAGCTAATCTTAAAAAGGCCCAAAGATTAGATAGTTAAAATGTATTTCACTAGAAATACTGTTATCGGCACCTATCAACATAATTATTTTATATAGCAGGATTGCAGCTCATTTATTAATAGACAGACTTGTTTTCTTCATTTTTCTTTTATGTAGTCATATATTTTCTCCTTTAAATCTTAAAATACATTTAAGTGAAATAAAAGGCAGTGACTTCTGCTTAAATAAAACGTTGGCAGAAGAGAGGGGAACCAGTTTGGGAAGCAGATGACAATCTCTTATGGGACATAATGGACCAATTCTAAGGAAAATGAAGGATTTTTCAGCATTACTTTAGAAGTGTGTATTGTTTCTCCTTAAATGAAAAGCACTGATGAAACAGGGAGGTGTTCCCAAGAGGTACATAATTTTTCTATTACTGTTATGTTGTACATCATGGCACAACACAAGTACAGTAACAAACAAATCTCATTTTGATTGATGTTTGTGGGAAATTCAACCTCCAGGCAGGTATCAAGGTATCTTTAAATATCAGATCTTTCTAGTTTATCTCCCCACCCCATTCTTCTTCCTTGATTCTGTTATTCCCAGGTATTGTTGGAGTTAACATAACAGTAGTAGTCTACTAAATAGTAGTTACTAAGTTCACTTACCACTAGATCCTTCTCCATGGCCAGCTGCTGCTGCAGCAAAATTCCTTGCCTGAGCCACCTGTTGAGCAATTCTCCACCTGGGAATCATTCTGGAAACTCAAGGACTTTTGTGTGGCAGATCTAATGGAGACCTTGAGTTCTTCCCTGTGGCTGGTCACTGTCTTTGCTGGGTCAAGGCCTTTCTTTCCAACTGCACTTTCACTCACACGTCTCCCTCCTCCTTGGGCCTGACGGTTGTGTTCATCTGACCCCATTTGGCCAATGAAGTTGAGGCAGAAACCCAACCCAGCTTGGAGCTTCTATCGCAAGGCTGTCACCCAACCCAGGACGAAGAGCCAACTTCTCACTTAGATTGGCATGAGACCCGGGAACTAACAATCCTCCCTTCCCTACAGTGGATTTCAGGGTCTATTTATAAACCAAGCAGAAAGCAAATGCAGAATGTCCAGTCTCCAAAACAGATCAGCAGGGGAAGTATTATTAGAGTAAGCGCTTAAAATGTTCTAGTAGAACATGAGTGAATTTGCCGCCTGTTGCAAGCAAAGACTGATATGTGCTCATTGGAGTTTTATACAGCTAGTCCTCCACTTACAACAAGTCATTTAGTGACTGTTCAAAGTTATAACAGCACCGAATAGAGTGATTTATGACCATTTTGCACAGTTATAACCTTTGCAGCATCCCCATGGTCATGCGATCAAAATTCAGATGCTTGACAAAATGATTCACATTTATGACAGAATCCCCGGGTCATGTGATTTTGCCTTTTGTGATCTTCTGACAAAGAAAGTCAATGGGAAAACCAGATTCACTTAACAACTGGATTACTAACTTAACAACTTCAGTGATTCATTTAACAATCGTGACAAGAAACATCGTACAAATGAGGCAAAACTCGCTTAACAAAGGTCTCACGTAATCACGGAAATTTTGAGCTAAATTGCAGTCGTAAGTCAAGGAGTGTAAGTGTAGGTGGAAAATCGGAAAGCTCTCAGTCCAGCTGGCTGGAGAATTCTGGGAGCTCAAGTCTAGATATCTTTAAGCTGCCAAGATTGAGAAACACTGTTCCAGGTGGCTGATTTCGCAGGCAGCATTTGGATTGATAATTCTGGGTATGAATGAATGTGGTGTGAATGGTATAAGAACTCCTACCATTGGACTAGAAGACCTCTAAGGTACCTTCCAATCTTATAATTCTATATTCTATGAGACATTTAGGGCAAATAGAATTGAGATCAGGGGTGAAATGCTACCGGTTCATGCCAGTTCGCCTGAACCGGTAGTAAAAATGCTACTCGTTCACCCGAACAGGTAGTAAAAAATGCTTTAAAAAGTTTTTCAAAAATAGCAGTTAGACTTNAATTTAAAAATGCAGTTAAATGTAATAAATATGTTGCTGTATTTATGTGATACAAGGTGCTTTGAAGGGTTAACATACACAGATTAGGTTGGGGTCCCCTATGCTCATGGGGCCCACGGGCAAGTGCCCATCAGACCCATGTGTTAAAGCAGCCCTGGGGTAACCTCATGGGCTGCCCATATGGTCACAGGAAATCTGTACACAGTCTCAACATTCCTACAATCAGACTTGACAATGTTCTTCTGTGTCTTCCAGAACTGCTCTGTAGCCACCTGTAAAACTATCATTTGCAATGTTTCATCCTTGGAGCGCCATCAACCTATTGAGTTCAAGATCAAGGGGAACATTGGCTTAAAGTGGCTTTCACAGGTATGGAGGCATCTGCTGAGGTTTTATTGGGTTAAAAAGCAGGACAGGAAAATGCCTTTTGTGGTATAATAGTAATACTCCATCAGGCATATAGAAAAGCATTTACATTTTAAGCAGGGGTGGGCTTCAAAAATTTTAGAAAAGAGTTCTCCGCCCGGTTGCTGGGTGGGCATGGCCATGGTGGGCATGGCCTAGTCGGCTTTCTGCACCATAGTGGGGTGTGTGTGTTTCCCTCCCGAGGCTCCAGATGATTTCCTCGAGCCTCTGGGAGGGCGAAAGCAGCCTCCTCAGGCTCCAAAGGCCCTCTGGCCCTTCCTGAACGTCCGGTAGACCCATTTTTCACCCTCCCCAAGCCTCCGTATGGGCCCTGCATTTACCTGCATCCAAAACGGGCCACATCGGGACTTCTGGGAGGGGAGGGGTGGGTGGGGCGGGGCCAGCCACGAGTGGGATTTGGGGATTCTCTGAACTGCACAGAATCTTAGTTAGAGGTTCCTCTGAACCCTTGCGAACCCCCAGCAGCCCAACCCTGATTTTAGGGTAGGAGCATAATGCTGATTTCAGGCCAAAAGCCCCTGCATATTGAATAGCTCTGTGATATACAACGGTGAAAGCTGTCCCACAGTTATTATCACTTTCAAAAAATGATAATTCATAAGATTCTTTCATGTATATTTTGTTGCTGGGTGGGATTTGGCAATGAAGATAGGCCAATGGCCACTGGCATGTCTGTGTCCATGAATAACATTTCCATGAACACCAGTACAAATAGTCCTCATCTTACAACAGTTTGTTTAATGACTGTTCAAAGTTACAACAGCACTGAGAAAAGTGAGTGATGACCATTTCTTTTACATCTATGACCATTGCACGATCCCCATGGTCATGTGATCCAAATTCAGACACTTGGCAACTGACTCATATTCAGGTATGGATTCCAGCAGGCACTACTGCTAGTTTGCTCGTGGGCGCATGTGCATGCACGGATTTGATGTGTGCTGTTCGCGCATGCACAGTGCAATAAAAATTGTTCTGCGCATGCACAGAAATAAAAAACAAGATGGCGGCACCTAACTGGAGAACTAGTTTGGGCATGTGTAGCAGGCGCTGGGTGCTGCCAGTTCTAGTGACCCAGGCCGCCAAACCACTGCCAGTTCGACCGAATCGGTCCAAACCAATAGGAAGCCACCACTGCTCATATTTATGACCGTGGCAGTGTTCCAGAGTCACGTGATCCCTTTTTTCAACAGTCTGACCAGCAGCATCAACAGGGAAGCCAGATTCACTTAACAACCATATTGCTGATTTAACAACTGCAGTGATTCACTTAATGAGTGTGGCAAGAAAGGTCGTAAAATGGGGCAAAAGTCACTTAAAAAATGTCTCGCTTAGCAACAGAAATTTTGGGCTCAGTGATGGTTGGAAGTCAAGGACTACCTGTAACTCTTATGCTTCCTTCCCTTGGTGCAACCTTTCAAGCAACCAGCTTCGCCACCACTGAGATTATCCATGTCTTCTTTCAGACCCAGCAGAAGAAGGTGACTTTAGGAAGCTCCGCCCAAGTTTCCTATGACGAGAGCAAATACAAGCAGAAAGAAGGATTCGTGTGGGTCCAGGTAATGATTCCTCTCCTTCAAGGTATAACTCAGTGGTGGGTTCCTTTCCCCGTCACTACTGATGCGCTGCTCACGAGGCTGGGCATCCTGTTTGTGCACACGCGCTCCGCATGCATGCACACTCCACAGCCCCTGCGAAACCCAGCTGCTTGTCGGTGGTCACGCAGGTGCCACACGCTGTGCGCGCATGCGTAATTGGCCAGTTGCTTTAAAAACAGATATAGAACCACGGGCGGGCAAGTGGGCCAAACTGGCCACCGTACACCTGTACGCTGTCATCTGCTGCTGGCTACTATGGGTACGGCTGTACCAGGCCGTACTAGCCAGAACCCACCAGTGGTATAACTGCAGTAAAGATTGTAATCAGAACTTCTGGCTCCCTTGGAAGATACACGTTGGTGGGTACGGAGCTGTGATGAAAGAATTCTGGCTCTTCCCTTGTATGATCCAATCCTTCCCCTCCTCTAGGCAGCGACCATTGTGGAGTTCCTGGAGCCCTACAACTACCTGCCCATCATTATTGGCAGCTCTGTGGGTGGTCTGGTACTCCTTGTTTTGATTATTGCAGGGCTGTATAAGGTAAGTCTTGAGAGAGAAAATGGCCTACAATGAACATTTTAATAGTCAGCTTCCATCCTAGTTTTTCTTCTTCCAATTTTTTAAATTTAATTTTAGTGCAAATAATCTATCTTTCATTAAACAGTGTGTTGTGCAATAACAGTTAACATTTAAAATCATATTCATTATTTAATCTATTCTTAGCTTAATACCAACACATTAAATATCTGATACTTGACATCCTCTTCTTAATTCGTTTAACTCTGTTAACTATTTTCTATATTTTACTCATCTACTTTTATTTTAATTTTTATATTTATCCTCTAACCATCGATAAAATGTTTTCCATATGGCATAATAACTAGTTTGTTCTTTCTCTTTAATTGCCAGTGTTAATCTATTCATTTCTGCACATTCTGATATTTTCCTTACCATATTCTCCTCTGTAGGAATCTCTTCACTTTTCCAGCTTTGTGCAAATACAATTCTATCTGCAGTTATTACATGATTAATCAAATATATTTTCTTTACTATAAGTTTCTGGTAAGACCCACAACAGGAGCTTCCACCCTAGTTATGTATCAGCCTTCCCTGGTAGATGAGACAGGAAACATGAGCCGATGAAATAATTCTACTTTATTGTAAGACTACATTGGCAGAAGATTGCAAGTTTGGGTACAAATCTCCCACTGTCTGTTTTTGCAGGCTGAGAAGATAGGGAGTAATGAGTTCTTCCTTTGTTCTTATACAACTCCAAGCTATATCATCTCTTATCCAACTGTTGCATAGGCAGCATCTTAACTTTTCTCCCTATCTCCTAAGGTCATTCCCATTAACCTTTATATTATGGGACAACATATTAAATTATTGCTTTTTCTAACCGAAAGTGGTTTTGCTAAAACCAAGGAGGAGAGATGTCTGAAACAGAGGGGAAAAAAATCTACTAATTAAGTGATTTCCATTATTGTCCATCCTTCAGTCTTATAGTAAACCAATTGACTATGGAGGTTCTCAATCATCTAAGTCATAGTTGAAACAAATGTGCTTTCCAAAAGGAAAAAAAAATGGACTTCCTTGATTTTCCCCACTTCAAAACATTTTGCTTCTCCTACAAGAAGTTTCTTCAGTTCGACTGAATGGTGGTGGGGAATGGAAGGATTTATTTATTTTATGGTGTTAGAAGAACATTGACATCCCCTAAACTCTGCTGAAGATGTTATCTAGCCTGGTAACGAAATATTCAGAAACCAACCTACAAGCTGGGAAAACAAACCTTTCCCTCAATCCTTCCATTCCACACCATTCTGTCAGAACTGAAGAAGCTTCTTGTTCAGGAAAGCAAAAGCTGGCAGGAAGAGCCAACACCCTAGAAGATAGGCTCAAGATCCCGATGGATCTTTACAGACTTGAACACTGGGCCCTATCTAACAAATTGAAATTCAATGTAGAGAAAAGTAAAGTCTTGCACTTAGGCAAGAAAAACCAAAATGACACACGTAGACTGGGTGAAACTAGGCTTAATAGGAACGACTGTGAGAGGGATCTTGGAGTCTTAGTGGAAAATCAATTAAATATGAGCCAGCAGTATGAGGAGGCAGCCAAAAAAAACCAATGCAATTGCATTAACATAGGAATTTAATCAAGATCAAGTTAGGTATAGCTTAGTAAGACCACACCTAGAATATTGCATCCAGTTTTGGTCACCACACTATAAAAAAGATGCTGAGACTCTAGAAAAAGTGCAGAGAAGAGCAACTAAGATGAATAAGGGACTGGGGGATAAAACATGCAATGAATGGATGCAGGAACTGGGCATGGCTTGTCTAGTGAAGAGAAGGACCAGGGGAGACATGATAGCAGTCCAATATTTGAGGGGCTGCCACAGAGAGAAGGGAGTCAAGCTATTTTCCAAAACACCTGAAAGCTAGAGAATGAATAATGGATGGAAACTGATCAAGNAAGAGGAAGAGGAAGAGGAGGAGGAGGAAGAAGAAGAAGAAGAAGAAGAAGAAGAAGAAGAAGAAGAAGAAGAAGAAGAAGAAGAAGAAGAAGAAAGACAGAACTGGAAATCCTCTTCCACACAAAAATTTGGTAATTTTCCCCCAAAGCTTTAAAGACTTGGCTGTTTATCTCAGTCTGGGACTCAGAATGTGTTAAGGGCCCCATTACTTGGCTTTACTATTATTGGATTAATCATCATGGCTGCTATTATTTTATGGATACTTTTATTGCTTTAATGTTTTGAAATTGTTTTTGGATTGTAAGCCAGAGTCACTTGGTTGAGGTGAGTAGCTATCAAATAAACAAATACATAAACAAGACTTTTCTAGACTTGGCCTGGAGCTATTTTGTGTATATCTCACACTTCAAGAAACGCAGCCTCTGTACCTGCGATGTCCACTTGAAATTGATGTCTCCTTCGATCCTGAACTCCAGAGGCCTTTTGTGTATCTCCAGTGACAAAACAGTGCAGTGGATGATTTTGCAAGAAGCAATGGAACAGTCCTGGGGGGGGGGGGGGATGGAGAGAGAATAAAAAAAGATAAGGCCATGGTAAGGCCAAAGTGGGGAATCATACAAGGGCAAAATGACTCTTGACAAACTGCAATTCTGCAGTAGTAGTCCAAAATTAAGTCCAAAACTATCTTTATAAATTAGATTATTTTCTCAAAACTATGTAGTCCTGCCTCAGGATTGTCATATTTATTTATGTAGCATATTTTATTTATTTATTTAGTCAAGGGTGTATTAGATAACATGTATGTATAAACATGATTTTGAATAGATGAAATGGATACAAATAAAAAAGAACATTAGGACAGGAGTGGTAGGCACATTGGTGCACTTATAGCCGCCCCTTACAGACCTCTTAGGAATGAGGTGAGGTCAACAGTCTGAAGTTGAAGTTTTGGGGTTTTTGGAAGGAACCACAGAGTCAGATAATACATTCCAGGCATTAATCACTCTGTTGCTGAAGTCGTATTTTCTGCAATCAAGTTGGAGCAGTTAATCTTAGGTTTCTATCTACTGTGTGCTCATGTATTGTTGTGGTTGAAGCTGAAGTAGTCATTGACAGGTAGGACATTGTAGCAGATAATTTTATGTACTACACTTAGGTCAGACTGAAGGCGGCNCCAATGGGGACTGTTTGAATAGACATGGCAACAGGTCAGCCAATGGGGATAGTTGTAATAGACATGGCAACAGGTCAGCCAATGGGGACTGTTTGGAAACTGAAATATAGTATTCGTTTGTCTGGGGCCATAAGAAAATTTGGAGTCTGGGCATGGCTTAGACTTGCTGAACTGTATATAAAAGTTGGTTTGGCCTCTGTAACTTTGTCAGCCTCTGTACAATATATGGGCCTCTGTATCTCTCTACTCTGTAATGACTTGCTTCTATGAATATTGCTTATATGTTCCTGATATTGTATGCTGAATTCTGTTGTACTGTATATAAATAAGTTTCCTATACAATTGAATCCTGCTGAAGTTCATTTGATTGCGTGTGCTTGCTGGATGTGCTTGCTGCAACAAAAAACTCTGACAGCAAATTTATTAGGAAACAGTGTCATTGTTAGAAGGAGACGACTGTACATCTTGTGAGGGTTGGTCAACGGTGTCATTATTAGCTCCGGCCTCCTCCAGCATTTGCTTGTATTGACGCTTGAAGAACCCAACCTAGAGAGAAGTGAAAGTAAGAGGAACAGAAAGCAAACATGAGATTTTCTCCTCCAGCAAAACAAGAATACCAGTCTTTAGTGCATGCTTTCCCAATTTAGGCAAATTTAAGATATGTGGACTTTAACTCCCAGAATTCTCCATCCAATCTTGCTGGAATTCTGGAAGTCCACGTATCTTAAAGTTGCCGAAGTTGGGAAACCCTGCCTTAGTGCTTAAGAGAGTTGGCAAGACTCAGAGCAGAGGTGGGTTGCTACCGGTTTGCAATGTTTTGGACGAACCAGTAGTGGAATGTTTGCCTGGGTCGCAGAATCGGCAGCGACCCAGGCTGGCCACACCTCCGAATCGGTTCCCCGGTTGCCGCTGCCAGCATGGGTTTTTTGTCCTTTTTAAATATTCTGCGCATGTGCAGAACTATTTACAAGCAACTGTGCATGTATGCACAGCGCACGCAAAGCGAACTGGCAGTAACGCTGGCAGCAATCCACCCCTGACTCAGAGGGTTATGAAAACCACACCTTGACATTTGATTCCTGTCTCCAAGAAGTGTTGATGAACTCCCTTAATGAGAAATCCTTTGAACAGGCAGGGGTGATTGCAGCTCAGAACCTAATTGGGAGGGGTTGCAAGAACTCCATTTTCTAGCCTTTCCCTCCCCAGGTTCCACTTCACCTTATACAAAGCTGCAGTTGACAGAGCTAGAAGGATTAAGCCCCCAAAAGAGCTGCCGATGATAACAGGGAGGCTGTTGTAGATCTCGATCCGCTCCACCACTGTCTGCACCTGGGAATGGCAGGAAAGACATTGTCTTAGAAGTTGGACACAGTCTGACAGCCCCAGGCATCCAGGCGTCAAGGACCAGTTCTAGCCTTTAGGCCTCACTTTCCTCCAAGGGTTGGGAAAGAAAGTCCTGAGGCTCAGCTTCCCGCCCACGCCCCACACCCGCCCCCTTCTTCTTTACCTGAGTTTCCGGAAAGCCCTCTGGCTGTGTGTATTTTCTCTTGTTATAAGAAATCTGTGCGGAGCTCACCAAAATAATTTTCTTCTGTTGGATCTGGAAGGGAGATTCATGATTTTTGAAAGATGATAGGCTATTTGTGGAGGAGGAGGTGGGGGAGCAGCAGAAGCAGAAGAAGAAGAGGGTGAGGAGGAGGAGAGGAAGAGGAGGAAGCGGAAGAAAAAGAAGAGGAGGAGGAGGAGGGAGAGGGAGAAGAAGAAGAAGAAGAAGAAGAAGAAGAAGAA